GATTTGAAACAAAAGCGAAAGTAGAAAAAATGGCTCATTTTATCTAATCTTATGTGTAGGAAAAAAAGGAAAAGAATGTGTTTTTCTATTAAGTTTCCCGATAAAATATAGTGAAGCCCACCGGTGGGTCCCAAAACCGTGAAAGGATTATTTCTCTTTCTTCTAGAAGAAATTAGAGAAAACTGTAGAAATCTTCCTTCGGGTTGAGGTTGAAAAGAAAAAAAGTAATTGTTCAAACAAATCGAATATGAAATTATATCTTTCTCGGACGCAAACTCAGATTCAACTGACGATTTAAGGGAAACAGTTACAAAAATATGAGTTAGTGATCAAATTTTCAGTAAATACCTGCACCTCCTAGCTAAGATATAAAAAGAAAAGTTCAGTGATACTGAGACGATGGCACTACCTACCCTTAGAGATGGAACCGGTCTAGTTTTTTCCAGAGCGGTACTAATAACGGTCCAAAACAATAAGACCGGTTTAGACCGACAAAACCGGTTTAGAACGTTTCAGCGACTGAAACCGATTTACCGAAAAAAGTTGGTCTGATCAGACTACCGGGTAAAACTAGCCTACCGGGGCTAAACAGGATGCTGATGATGCGTCAGTTTATAAAAGAAAAACCGACCTACTGACAAAATATCGATCTACAGACAACAAACTAAGGCTTGAAATGAAGCCTTGTTTCATAGTGAACTCCCTTGTGGGCTACCTTCGTATTTTCACGCATACTGGCAAAATGTTTCGTCGTTCATAACAATAGTCTCACTGATGGGTATTTTGAAAACTGTTTTTTAAAAAAATTCCTGTGTGATCAGTGGATCTAGTCTTGGTGACAGTTGTTTTTTCATATGATTACCGTTATAGAGCGGGAAAGTGAAGAATACAGACCGGTCAGACAAGTTTGAACCAATCTGACCTGTTGATCCAAAGTCCAGACCGGTACCGGACCTGACTAGACCGGTCGGTTACCAGAACCGGTTCCATCTCTGCCTGCCATGATACTTGCTCTTTTACTCACTCTGAAACGAAGCAGCGATGGTACTGATTCTTTTGAATACTTTGTAAACATGATGAACTTGAACAACCAACAACGCACGCATGAGCAGGTTACGAGCGGTGCCTGTCAATTGTGACTGTCCTCTTGTACAATTGAATTCGTATATAAAAAAACCGTACATGGCCTAAACGATTCTTTCAAAAAAATGGAAAGCTATCGAGTACAATTCTAAAACTCGAACTGTAAGAGAGTCTAGATACGTTAGTTGTCCCAAAGCACATCTGCCATTCCAATTGCGACCATGATCAAAGTGGTAGTACACTATGAAGCTGAATACAAAAATCAACTACAACTCCGATAAAAATGAGTACTGACCCATGAAAACCTTTGGGATAATACAGAGCCACGAGTGGCAGCTGGATGAAGATTTTGGCTTTATAGAGCCCATACGAAACAGAAATAGTTCGATAGACCTTGATATTATGATTGAAGTAGATCATGTAACTGACTGTACGACTGAGAGTGTAAGTTGCATCTGAAGCTAGATTTCCACGAAGATAGATAACATAATGGTCATTTGAACGGAAACTTAAACGAAAATAAAGATTGAAAAACGAATATTAATTAAAGCAATGATACAGACGACGAAAGTAGCCGACGCAGCTGCTGAAGGTGGCTCACAGGTCTCTGCGAGAATCAGAAACGATCCTGAGGGTAAGACTTGCTCCAAATATTGATCTTTGAGGAGAAACATGTGTATGAACAGGAAATACTTCCAAAAGTTGCAGTAGAAACCAATCTTTGCTCTCATAGACGGAAGGGACCTTTAAGCTCGGTGTTAAAGAGATGAACAGTATAAAACAACATACTATTGCTTGTGAAGCCTTCATATTTTACGTATCCTGTGCAAAGAGAGGAAGAAAAATACATACAGCCGTGATATAATGCATATTTTTTTAACCGTTGTTTAATTTTATCTTTCTTCATTACTGAAGCTGTCTGATCGATAGGTGACAGAACAAGCAAAAGAATGACAGTGCTTTTTCTTGGGAAAAAAGATCCAATAGGACTCAATAATATATGATCATGCCTTATCCCACGTATACGGTGGAATGCACACAAGCCAAACATTTTTTCGACATGTCCATTAAAATATATATTGCTTTCATTTTCTTTAGTAAACAACAACGATACATTACCAACGTATTACAATCGTAATTATATTATTCGTTGCATCATTATAAGAAGTAGACGAAGTCTTTTGATATTGCAGTATCACTCTTAAGCCCTTTTCCTATATCAGTGTTCAGAACATTTTTCTATCCTTAAGTATAATTATTATTACACTCTAAGTTAAAATGTGTCGGATGTGTCGTGATTCACAACACATTCCACGACACATTCGAGCACGACACGAGGTGCCCGTTGCGACATATTTTCTCCAGCAAGCGTACGACACATTATTCCACGACACATCCGACACACTCTGAAATCAATGTTCGAGTCTTGGCTTCACCGTATCCATAATTTTTTTCTTTCGTGCATTATATTCATCAATATTTAATTAATACAATTAACATCAGTGTTTGATGCAAGAGTATAAACCAGGCAGATCTTGAGATCCAACCGTGTAAGGCAAGTCAGATCTTGGTCGGACTATTGCCAGGTGTGGNCTTGGCTCTCGTGGATTCAGTGGATTAGTGCATTTCGATATGCTTCAAATGTACTTACTATTAGCGAATTTCAAGGTCTCACTTTCTGTTGGTCAAATGCAACCAATTTCTGTCCATTGACAGGTGATGAGATACTTGATAAGCGAGGACTCTCTCATGCTAGTTCATGGGATTTGTGGAAGAACTTTTTCGCATTGACAGTCATGGCTATAATGTTTTTTATTTTAGCTTATATTCAACTTATCAGAATGAAAAAAAGAAAATAATTCTAATTAATTATATCTATATTCATATTATAAATGAGAAAACATCAAATATCTTGTTTCTATATTTTGATTCTAGTAAGTTTTATACTAAAATTCCTAATTCTTTTAATCTTTTTTCCATTCATGTATGTTTCACTTGTACTTACTAATATTGAATAATAAAAACTAAACTTGAAATCAAGTCTGTTTTGTGGAACTCACATATATTTTCGAAGAAAATAGTGAGTGTATGTTGTAAGGTCAAGTCTTCATGGCTCTTCTCCTCCATTACAGACCTTAGCAATCAACAATAATAGGCGTCAGATTTTGTAGAGCTTTTTCTTTCAAAAGTGATCAAGTTATAATTTTGAAAAATAATGAATATCATTATTTGTGACTTGATTAATACATATAATAGTGCATAAGATCTGCTTTATATATCATGAATATGTAAAACAGACTTATTTGTCAACTAGTTCAATGACTATAAAAAGAAGAATGTTAAATTAAGAAAAACAAATTAAAACAAAATAAAAAATAATGAGCGAATAGCAACAATGCAAAGAAAAAATAGGGCGTCGGTAGAAAAAAATAAAAATTTCTGTTCGAAATGCAGAAATTAGAGTTTCTTACTCTAATGATTGATTATTCTGCATAACAGCTATAGTATACGAGAGATTTATCACTTTACGTATTCTGTATTAGTTTAACGAGGCTAGGCAGTATATGCGAATTCCACATTTCAGCTCCAAAGGGGCTGCTCTAACAAACCTTTTTTTCATGTATAGCATAAAAACAAAACATTAATTTTTCGTAAAACGATTAAAATTTATATTTAACTTTTAAAATGTTGATTACTGCGAACGAATATTGAAAGTAAATTGTTTCAAAAGATTCTAATAAAAATTTATTTTTTTTTTACTAAGCATTCTGCAATTTGTAGAGGACGTTAGTTTTTTGATAACAGAAATTTTTTGAGTTTTAGATATTTACTGCAATTTGTAGAGGACGTAAGTTTTTGATAAGAGAAATTTTTTTAAATTTAGTATCATTGCTGTAATTTGTAGAGGACATTAGGTTTTGGTTGAATTAAGATTTTCGTTTGGGTCTAGCTGCCAAGAATTTTAATGGAAGTCAAAAATAGAATGTACTAGCTAGTTTGTTTTTCTTTTGTTATTGATAAACTAACACTCATAATGCATGAGCAAGGATGGTCGATTTGGGCTGAACTAATAACGATTTTAGTAAAAGACAAAGCGAGTTTTTTAAGGAGATTGTGTCATAATTTGTTGTGATAATCGATATTTGTTTCGAATGTGGTGTGAGCGGATCGAGCTATGGCCGTCAAGAGAAGACGCTCATCAACATCTATATTTCTAAGCTGTCTTTTTTAGAACATCATTTTTGTATTTTTGATTTTTATGTATAAGTGTTTTTGCACCCCAATCAGTTGTCTCCATTCAATGTTGAATTCCATTTTAAAATCATAATTATATGGTCTGTTCAAAATCAAAAGCAGCTGATGGCATTCATAGTAACAATGATTTCTGGCGAACTCTATAAATTGCAGTCAATTAAAAATTAAAAAAAGCACTACTCTATTTTAGCGCACTCTACAAGTTATAGTTCATTAAATTGAAATAGTGAAACTCAATATTTAGTGAACTCTATAAATCTCAGCAAATTCAAAAATATAACTGAAAGTTTAAGTCGTATTAAAATTGTAGCCAGTAATTTTTTTGAAATTTGAAGACCGAAAATTTGAGACCTAAGATTATTTTCAATTTGAATAAATTAAATTTAAAAAAACAAATAAAATTGAATTTACCAGATTTTGAATTTCGATTTGGGGTGTGGGGTGTGAGTGTGGGTGTGAGTGTGGGTGTGGGTGTGATGTGTTCATGTAAGAAAGAAGAGATCCCCACACCACCGACACCCACACCGTACACCCACGCCCACACCCACACCGCACACCCACACCCACACCCACACCCACACCCTGAATCTCATTTAGCTGCTCAATTAATTGATTTAAAACAAGGTTAAAATAATTTTTCAATTTTTCTTTCATTTATCTTAATGATTTATTTATTAGATAATGTTGTTTGTGGTCAATTAATAGAAGATGTTCAACAACAACCTTATGCCGTTATTTTATTTGATGAAGTTGAGAAAGGTCATCCATGTATTTTGGATATTTTATTAAAAGTTTTAAACGGTGATTGTCTTACTGTAAGTTTTGTCTTTATCATTTGAAATATTCTATTCAATAATATTTATTAGAATGATAAAAATCGAATAGTTGATTTTACAAATACAGTTATTATTTTATCAACAAATATTGGTGTACAATATATATTCGAACAAATTAAAAATTCAATTTATTCAGAAAAAACTTTTGATGAAAAATTATCTAAAACAATTAAAAATCATCTAATGAACCAAGTTTGTGTTCGTTTTTCTTAATCAATTTAATAATAATATTTATTTCAAAGATTTCTTCATATTTTCGACTTGAATTTCTAAATCGTTTGGATGGTATTGTATTCTTTCAACCACTTTATCTTAATCAACTTTCATCTATAATTCATCTTCAATTTCGATCAATTGAAGACCTTTTTAAAGAAGAATATATTACAATTCGTTTGACTGATAAAGCTATTCAATTAATTCTTAAAACATCTTATAATCCAGGTAAAACAACATATATTTAATTTAATTTAATTTATTCTTTTGTTTAATATAGTTGACGGTGTTCAATCATTAAAACATCATCTTGAACAACATATTATAACTCAAGTTCGAAAACACTTAATGAGACTTCAACTTCCATCACATTGTCATGTTATAATTGATACTAATGCAAACGATCAATATCGAGTTGATATTCAATAATTACAAAGAACAACTTCAACTTTATAATAAACATGAACAATCAAAATACACGATTTTTATTCGATTTTGTTTGTCACAATTCTATTTTGGATTATAAAAGAGAATATTTCTCTTAAATAAAATCGAATTGTCTCCAAAATGATTTCAAATTGAAGAGATTCATGGAAGAAAAGAAACGTTTCTGCCAAGTATTGGATGAAACCATATTCTATTCGAGAAGAACATTTGATGATTATTTCTGAATACCGAGTATTTTATTACAGCAATGAAAATAAGATTTCTGGACTATTTATGTTATGCAGAATATATGTAAAATCCTGCAGCTGAACTAGACCTAAATTAGATGATTCCTATAGAGAAATTAACTTTCTATCAAGTCATATGAGAAAAAACAAAAAAAAACTCCTATCTTTGCCGGATTATAATAATCTGAAAAAAATGGCGAAAATCAAGTGAAAAAAAATATTTTTGGTTGACTTTTATAACTTCATTAAATTCTCAATTACGATAAGGAATAAATTCGGATGCGGTTTAGTATAGTTCCCCACTATAGAAATCAACATGTATCACCTTTTCGGTGATTTTATCCCTAACTATCGGCTCCCGATATGAATCGCGATTATTGTCCTTCTGTTAGTCATCACTATACTTATCGGCAGGAAAGGAAAAATACTTCATTGATCTGCTTTCTGTGATCAACAGAATGCAAGGAACTAAACATGGAGTAATATATACACATGTATCTCGTACATAATGGATTAATTGTTTTTTTCGAATAATATATTTATAGTGATTTCGTCAGGAAATATTCTACTTTTGTAATTATCTTCTTAATTATTTTCAAACATGATTTCTTTTAGTATTTTTTTAGTAGGTATGTGTGAAAATTTTTTAGTGATTTTTAAAAAGAATATGAAGTGTTTTTTTCTAATGTATTTAATTTAGAACTTTAGAAAATGAAAGTATGTTCATTTTTTTTTCTTTCTAGATAAAAGAAATAAAATTGCATAGAATACGTTAAATCTCATTGTACATTAGCATTGAAGAAAAAATTTAATGATATTTATTTAATATTTGAAAGATAAATATCAATAGATTATGATAATGAAGCACATATTTCATTAAAATAATACAGAATATTTTATTCGTTTAAAATGAGAAGAATTATAATGAATAAAGACTGTTCGGTTCTTCATAGATGAAAAAAGAAATTAGCTTGTATACTTGTATTTTTATTTATGTTGATGATCATTGTTTAACGAATTTTTTATAATTTAATCAGAAAAATTCAATTCTATTGCTACTTATAAATTAAATAGGTGATTCTATTTAAGGAAATTCTCTTTCAGTTATAAAAAATAAATATCGTTATCTGATGTAATGATGTTTTGGAGATTTTTCATTAATAAATAAAAATAGTATAGATATTTATTTTTTATATTATAAATTCTATCCACTGTATTTTATCTTGTAATCGATATTTTATTTAATTCAAATATAATGTATTTAATATATCTGTTAATGACTAAAATAAAATCAATCACGTTTAGTGGACTTGACTGCGGTATTTTAATAATTGAAATGAAGCTAGTCTTTCAGAATAATTCTGTATAAAAAAAATCGTAAGAAAATTGAGCGTCATAAATTTTTGTTTTATGTAATCCAGAAAAGAAAAATAAATTTTTAAATCATTATTAAAATGCATATCTCTTGGGCTTATTCTTTCATTGAAAATTATGAAAATTAATTGTACAGCATAAAAAAATTGAAGAAAAAAAAATTACTATCTATTAAAATTGAAAATCACTTTTAAGAGGTAACTTTTAACTTTATTTTTCTCTGCTATTTTTTTTTCGAGGTTAATAAATTTTGTCTTGCACAAAAGAGAATACGATGGAAATAAGTGTAGAAATTTTGGTACTTGTTCACTTTAGACATAGTCCTCACCATCACCCTCACCTTTTGATCTGTGTTTATTAAAGACGCCAATTAGTGTATAAAATATGTCTAAAGTGAACAAGTAGTACCTTTTTTTTTATTACAGATCACATCAAATTCAAAGATCACAATGTTCTAAGAGAAAGATAAATATGTCTGTTTTATATTTCATCATATTAGTCGAATATCAATTTTTTTCGTCGAATTGGTTCATTTTTGAATAAAGAAAGAAAAAGGAACGGAAGAGCTTTTTCTTCTCGTTCATTATAGATGTTCATCGCCGTCTTGTGATTTCACCGTAGAATATTGCATAACTGCATGTATATATCCGTTTTTCTATTGTAGAGAAACTTTTAAACAGGTAAAAAATTAATTTTTGTTTTCGTAAAATTTAGACGTCAAATAACTCTTTTCCAGAAAAATTATTTATATTAAAAAAAATTTATATTGATTAGATGAGTTGATGAGAAAAAAGAGATTCTTTCATGTGGTATTTTTTTATTTGGTTTTGTGAAAAATTTGTCAAATAAAATAAACAAAGCTCGACAGATTTTAATAGATAAATATATGATTATGAAGAAAGTCTAATCGGTATATTTGAAATAGTTATTGACTTTTTTAGATAATATGTTAAATAGATTAGAAAATCTGGCAAATGAAATTTTACTTATGATATTAAATTATATAAGATGGTTTGAAATGATTGAATCGTTTTGGTCGTTAAATAAACGTTTTAATGATATTATTTCTTTAAAATTTTCAATGACTAATAATAGAATTGTTATCAGTGAGAAATGTTTATCTTTCAATCATTCTAAAATTCTTCGTTTTGTTAATTTAAAAAAACTTATTCTTAAAAAATGTTATTTAACGACAAAATTGATTGAACATTTCTTATTTCTTATTGAATAGCAATTGAACGAATTAATATTTACTGTTGATAAAGATGTTTTTAAACTAACTCATTATGAAGCAATGTCTCGAATAATTCGTCATAATGTGAAGGTCAATTGAAATTTCTTCTTTTAGACGTCAAATTTAAATGCTTTTTGTTCTAGAATCGAAATTGATGCTTATGTTCAAAGAATTCCTACGTACATTATTTTCTGATAAATGTCGTTTAATATCTCTTGACGTTGATATATCAAATGATGATAGTGCCGTTGATATTCATGGATGTTTTTCATTATCTTCTATTTCAATTAACAATGTAGTTGTTACTCATTGTATGACTCTTCGTTATTTACATATTCATTTAATTTATGGTTATTTTCTTGAACATATTATTGAGCATGTACCTATTCTTGAGACTCTTTCAGTTATATTCAAAGATTCGTTAATGAAAGAATCATCATATAAACCAAAGATGAAACGATTTGCATCAACTATTCTCAATTGGTATGAAAAGGTAAACAAAAATGAGAAATTGAATCTATTCAATGTTCAATAAAACGATAAATAGATTTTTAGAATAATATCACGTCAAACACACTATTATCATTATGTCGATGAGAAAATTCTTTCCATATGTTATCTCAAATTGTTTTTAGATTAGTTCAATCTAACATTTGATTATTTTTCTTCTAAATAGTTTTAGCAATTATAATATGAAGACAAATTATAGTAAAGTCAAATGTTGTCTTAGTTCGAATAGATAAATCAAGCTGAATAATCATATTTGATAATGATTATTGATATAAAATATCTTTAAGTTTATCAATGAAAAAGAATTCATTCGTACCAAAAATAGACTTCTTATTAGAGATTCCAAAGGTGCAACGTCACACCGTCCAATTTTGGCCCTGAAATGAAGTGCTGATAGTACTTGTTTTAAAGAGTCGATCATGGCAATGCTGTATTGTAGCTGCGCCACGGATTCATAGTTATTACTAATCTAAAGCAGAAACGATACTTGTTATCTTTATATAACATTGATAAATAATTCTCTTGAAAATGAGCGATAAGTCAATATACGATTAAAAATTCATTTGGTTATTTGTTTTGAAGTAGAGTATGTTCTTTATTATATAATGAGAAGTTTTTGTTAACTAAATTGAAATTAATTAATAAATATACAGATTATCTTTTTGATCATTTTTTATCCGCGTTTCTTTTGGAGTTTCTAAAAGGTTTCTTGTAACAGATTCTCTACGGACACGTACCTCATGTGGAAGCAAAGGTTCTATCGAATTTCGATGAACTTCTGTGCATGATGATTAGGTGACAATTTGTTTTTCTTTAACATTATTCATATTTAATGATTACTGTATTCCAATATCTAACTCGGTATCACTCGAACTCGTCCCATACAAAAAAAAATTGATTCTCAGTTCGTCTTATTCTATATATACGTATTAATTTATCAATTAAATTTGAATAGCAAGAGAAAAAAAATGTGAACTTATTATTGACGTTTTGTCATTTCATTCTCTTCGTCTCTCTCTTATCTGCATTGGTCTTATCCTTTTTTTTCACGTTCTGTCATTCTCTAATATTCTTTGCGATTGATAGGTTTTCTCCCAATCTATTATTTTATTTGTCTGATGGATATTTCCATCAATAACTCTGTGTGTCAGTTGACTTGTATCTCTTGTTAGCATATATATATGTTGTACTAAACCTAACATAATCTTATTCATATCTTAAACACGCACGTATCTAATATGTTTCGATTTAGCTATTGAATCAGGAAAAGTAGTAAAGAGTAAGAAAAGAAAAAAAATAGCATGTATTATTCTTGTATTTCTGTTTAAAAAAAATTGGTAAAGAATAAATTATAAATGAATATTAATTTAGACATGTTAGATGATAGATTAATAAGAAGTGTATATAGAATGGGACGAATTCGGATAGAAAAAAATGGGACCAGTTCGATGTAGAACTCTAATTCTTGCGCTATATCTTTATAGATATCGATAATAATTAAATTACTAAAATGTATTCTTCTTGATGAATATTTAATGAAAGATTATTACATTTAAATAGTTCTATGTCGATCACAAGATGGAAAAATAATAATTGTGATGATATAGATCCTATTCATTTTGACACGAAATGATACAATCAAAGAGTTAGTACAGACATAATTCGTGTTTATTGATAGACGAAAATCTTAGTTCAAGGATACAATTATCAGCAACATCTTTTTGAAATGTCCAAATAACAGATACCTTGCAAATGGATAGTAACTTTGTCTGGAGTAGGGAGTTCTGAAATCGTGCATAATTCTCTATGAAGATAAATGTTTGATTTGAATATGAAATGAAACATCCTTTTGTATAATAATTTTTTGTAGATGCCAAAATTAAAATGTTTTTCTTTAAAAAGTGTTATTCTCGACGACTTGCAATTAGTTTATTTAAAATGGATTATTAATAATGTATATTACATTGAAAAGCTAAAAGTTCGTTTAGATATAGAAACTCGAACAAATGAAACTAAAGTTATTGATGTAAATTATCGTCGTGAATATATAATGCCTGATATATTAATTCATTTGATCGATTTCGATTTTTATATTGTATCGAAATGCAAATTATTATTTGAAAATGATATTGAAAAAATAATTGATTCGTTTAAAAATGATCGAATTTTTATTGATCATCATTGGACAAATGTTAAATGTTATTTTGATAGAGTTTTATTATGTCAACATATATCATCAGTCAGAATAATTAAATCGAAATTATTTGACGATATTATGTAAGATATTTAATTTTACAATAATAGAGAATTTGTTTTATTCTTGTTGTTAAGAGATTATCCAATGATTTTTGATTGGGAAAATATTAAATGTATGAAAATTGATTTATGTCCAACAATTTATTCATTTCTGACTAAATTTGATAAAATCTATCCCAACATTAGATCTATTCAATTTAATATGGGTAAATATTTCATTATATAAAAAGATTGAAAAGAGATTTTTCTAAGTTGACTTGTTCTTTGGAAAAAAATCTCTTAAAATATTCATTTATTTCATGTTAATGATGTTTTAAAATTTAATTATCGAGAAAAATTGTTTTTTTTTTGTAGGACGACACAATTATCTTAGTCATTTAGCATATTCGACGTTTTTGCAGTCATCATTGGACATAGCAGATGATATTCATTTTCAATACGTTACAAGACTTGATTTTGGTTCTGGTTTTTGGCGTGGTTCTGGTAAATTACAATTTTATTTTTGTGGTTATCCGAAATAAGTTCTTTTATCTGAACTGTCATTATTATCGAAATTCCCTGAACTAAGTCCAACTAACTAATTAGTTTTGCGAATATTTATGCAAACTAATTATCTTTGAGCGATGTGTCATTTTTATAGAGAAATATTTTCTTTTTACAAAAAAATGAAATATTTCTGCATTATTATATAGAAGTTAGGCGTCTAACCAAGGGGGAAACAGCGGACTTCAAGACTTCAAGACTTCAACAGACTTCAACAGACTTCAGCCGCTGTGACTTCATATTTTCACAAGACTTCAACAGACTTCAGCCGCTGTGACTTCATATTTTCACAAGACTTCAGAAGACTTCTAAAGACTTCTGAAGACGTCATAGGACTTCAAATGACTTCGCAAGACTTCATAAGACTTCGNAAATTCGAAAAGTTCAGGTGATAGTGTTTGTGCTTTATCAATGAAGCGGCGTAAGAAACGTTGAGCACTTGATGTAGCAGTTTGAAAAGCAGGCAACCGTTGTACTTCATCGTTACGAGCATCCCACCAATTGTGGATCAATCTATAAATTTGACGATTTTTGGTTTCAATTTTGGCAATAGTTCCATTGGAAAGTAAGAGCCAGGTTGCATATATCAGTTGAAAATATGGTAAAATAAATGCACTAAGGATCAAATAGAATAAATAAATATATTTCTTTTTTAAAATTTTTCAAACTTAATTTATTTATTTACTCTTATTCATTTGATAAACATCTAAACAAATAGAATTAGTTATTAAATGTAAATATTTTCATATGTTACAAAAATATTGCTTTTAATATATTTCTAATTACATTAAGAAGATTTTATCAATGGTCAAAATATAATAACAATATAGAATATTTAAGAAAAATAAAATCCTTTATAATAACTGTCTTCAATTATACATTATTTTTATTATAAATATTTGTTTTATCTTTCGATCGATTTAACCAATATATATTATCATATTATTTCATTAAGACTTAATAATCTAGAAATAGAATATATTTCACTAATGTTTTTATAGATTATTGATTGACTAATTTATATTCATATGTTATGAATAAACGTACATAAATACGAACAAGATATTTATCGTCTCGATGTGGATGTGAAGCAAAAACACTGACAATCATATCCATTCACACTCACGTCCTTCACGAGAGGAAAACAATAGCAAAACCTATATATTTACTTGATAGAAGTCAACAAGTTTTTTTTAGACGGTTATAATTTTCCTAGTTAATAAAAAATTTTTTAATGACCACAGAGATTTTTCAAACATTAATAGTATTTTATCAAACGGTATGACTCGATTTCGAAGAGAGTTTTTTCTTTCCTTCATCTTACATCAGTTAAATAAAATGCATTTTGTGTTTTGATGAAAATTACAATATTCTAAATGTAGTAATAGTCAATCATATAAGAAGAAAATGTGTTTTTTTCTCTATTACAATAAATCGAAGCTCCCATTTGTTTCTCGTACACGAGAGAGAGAGAAATCAACTAAGAAATTAATCATTAATCCGATCTTATATCTACACTTATAATATGAAAACTTTTATCAACCAAAATCTAATTATGGATCAGACACGAATAGAGAATAAAACGAATTATTCAAACGTTGATACACATATGACGTTTATTAACGATGATACTTTTAGTAGATTATCAATTTTTATAATTTGTATGAGGAAACGTTTGTATTAGAATCTTCTTTGCAAGAAGCGCCTGTCTAGAAAAAAACACGAACAAAGATTCGCAGTGATTCTAGTGGTGCAACCATGAGGAGGACTGGGCTGGCCTGAGCCCTTCTTCCGCCCAGAAATGTTTCAGTACCCGCGTCCAAAAAGAATTTTTCGTTCTCATGAAAATTGTAATTGTTTCTCATTTTCGAAGCTATTCTGAGCAGAGTGAACATGATCTGTCAGTTCATCCTTTTCATTATTCGATATTTTTCTTCGATCAAAGACAAAAACGAGATTAATCTTTCAAATTAACGGAGAAATTGATGAACTTTTCTGATGAAAAAAATTCTTTAGTCACTTCTGACTGTGGGAAATTTTCTATCTGATCATAATAGTCTTTATATATTTTCATAAGAAAGATATGAAAATTCTTTTTTTATATTCAAATTATTGACTTTATCAAGAACAAGTTCGTCGTCACAAAATCTTATTTGGAATTTCTCGTTACGGCTATTACCGACGAGCCTAAGCATGATCGCCTACGTTACTATTGTATGCAGGACAATATTCAACTGGGGAGTGTTTTTTAGTCATTTTTTCATCGAAAATGTTCTTGTAAATAACCTCATAGAGACTACCAAAAATTCTTGCTTCATTCCTATGGATCCCCTGTTAAAAAAAGCAATTTCAAATTTTCCTTCTGAAAAGTTATTTGCTGAGAAAAATAAGGCGCATAGAACTGATTTTTAATGCAACTTTACTTACCCAAAAAAAAAATGTAATATCAAAATTCGAGACTCTATCTTTAAATCGATTCGTGATAACAATAATCAAGAGTTTGTTCTAGCGAAGTTTTACGACCATTTTCGTTGGCTCTCAACGTTTTCCTTTTTATCTGATCTATAACCGATTGCGAAACGAATCACACATATGATAATGTCATTTTAAATTGGCTTCAATATCAATAATATCGGATAAAGTTCTTTCGAAAATGTTTCTTTTGAAAGCAAATATTTTTGTTCGCTCGGAAAAAGCTTTTAGACCATGTTCTAACAGATCCAACGTGATCGATTATAAAAGTCTTTAATAGTGTCACAACGAACAAAGAAGACTTCAGTGCGTGACGACTGATGAGCTATTGATAGATGGATTTAGAAATATATTTCAGATCGATTATCATATCCGAATCATTAAGTGAAATTGTATTCACTGTATTTATGGAGCATTAAAAGCGTCACTTTTATGATAAAAAATATTGATTCAATCGACACCCTCTTACAAATTTAAAAGTCTTGAAATATCAGCCTCAAACAGTCCTGTCTATATGAGATAGACGAGTTTTAATTTCCTTTTTTACTAAAAAACTTTAAAATAATTTTCGCTATCTTTATGCACTTTTTAAAAACGCTCGGGATTGATCCCACCTCAACCTGAAATCCTGATTATACGTCTAATATTATTGTTTAACTAATGTTTTTTTCCTTGATGAAATTAATATAATTTAAAATCACTTGAAAAATGGTATTGCATCATATAAAAATCGCATAATAATTGATGATATGAGTAGATAAAAATTATTGTTTATGATTAAGAGTTGGATTAAAGTTAAATGTGACTCAATATTGAATATTATTAATTGATCTGTACATATGATAAATAAGTGCTATAATATGATGAATTTAACTAGGGATTATTTTCTGACAATTTGTTTTATAGTTTAATATTGAAGAAATAAAATATGATGATAAGAATATTTTCAATAATAATTTATCTTTCTTCTCCTCGTTTTCAAATTTCTATGCTAATAAATGTCAATTATGTAAATAAAACGAATTTTTGAATATATAGTTAATTTATGTAAAATAAAGATAAAATAATATATGATTTTATTTTATTTTATGTATAAATATGTCTATTATTTGAAGTTTATTAAATAAATCTTATGTATTTAAGTTGATTTAAGTTTTTTCTTAAAATATGAATTGAAATGAAATAATTTTAATATAAATATTTTCTTATGAAAAAGAATAAATTTTAAAATAAAAAATATATAGAAATATTTTTTTTGTTTTATTAACGATTTAATAATTAATTGTTCAATATATGATCATATATATATTGATAATTATTGTTTCATTTAATTAACGAATTTTATCATTAAGAAAATTATTATCGAATATTTAAATAAAAGAAAAAGAAAAAGAAAAAAGAAAAAGAAAAAGAAAATCTTAATTTTTTGTTTCACTTGATTATGAACAGTAGAAATGTATTGATTTATATTTATAGAAGAGAATCAATCAAATAAAAAATGAAATGAAAAGAAAAGATAATAATTAATGAAATTAGTTTAAATAAGTCACTGATTATAATAAAATTAGCACCGGAATGATAAAAGACTAGAAATCAGTTGTATCTCCAGGTGAAGGTAATTGGCTATTTCTAATACATGAAATTCTATTATTATTTATTTGAGTATTATTGGATTTTCCCGAAGCCATTCTATTATTTATTTGTGAAATTAATTTTCCAACATTAACACCATCGTTTGTCGTTGATGTTGAATCAGTTGACAAATCTGTTGTTGGATCATTTTCAATTGTTTTATCTTCTATTGCTGTTGAAAATCTTTGTTCATTATTGGATTTTAATAATGGAAATGAAAGTTTTTGTCTCGGTTGAACTATTGGTGAAGGAGAAACAATAACTGATGGTGGAAGAGGTGGAGGAGCTCCAGGACGATCTAATTGTATTCCATCACTTGGTGTACGTCGATGAATTTTATCACTCGAACTGAAACTTGATGAACTTGTCACTAAAATTAAAAAAAAATAATAATGAGAATATTTAATTGATTGTTTTTTTTTTTAAATATAATCTAAAATCTTATTAACGATCGAATCAGCAAAGTTGGTTATATTGTTTTTTTTCTTGTAAAAAATTATTGTTTAAATAAATAACGAACGAACAAAGCAAAGAATATATTTATTTAACGAACAGTTATATACGTATATATGGCAATAAAAGCGAGCATAAAAAAGAGAACCTCCTGTAAATTTTTTGCATAATTTCTTGATTCGATTATATTCTGAAGATGATTCTTGATTATTAACTGATAGAAGAATTTTTAAAAATAAATATCTTAGTTAAAATATTATTTGATTACCTGTTGAACATTGATTTGATGTTTGTTCAGTTGAATTTAAATCATATGAGACATTTTCACTATTTATTTGTTCAATAATTGATGTTTGGGGATTTATTGAAGATGTTGTTGGTGGACGAGGTGCTTTATTTTTTCGACGTGTTCCAGGAGATCTTATTTATTTATTTATTTATTTATTTATTTATTAGAATATAATTACATACGGTTGAGCATATCCTGATAGATTTTGAACATCTAATAAATTTTCATTTGAACCACTTCGACTTTTCTATAAAAAACAAAAACAAAAAAAAAATAAAAAACTAAAATAAAATAATTTAACTTTTTAATAAAAAAAAATTAATAAAAATGATTAAATACGGAATGAAATTCAGTTGGAATAAGATCAGGTTGGGATTTAAATGATTTCAAAGTTTGTTCTTGTTGAGAAGAATTTGTAAATAATTGTTTATGATGAATAATCATAAGTTCAAGAATAGTTGAAGCAGCTGTATAAGAATTTGAAATAGATTGATTAATTGATGATTGATCTTTTCCATATAAAATACTACATCCAATACAAATTCCTAAATTTGTTGGTGTCATCTTATTTTCAGATGAATATTCAGCAACACGAGCTAAGAAACGAACCAAATAACTAAATTATTAAATAATAAATAAATAAATAAATGAATAAATAAATAAATAAATAAATAAATATGTCAAACCAAAGATTATGATAATTTATTTCAGGTAGTTTATTTATTAATTGAGCTATTCGTTGTAGACGAGCTTGTTCACCACTAAAATTAATATAAAAAAAAATCGATCAGTTTTTTATTATTTTTTTAATTATTTAGAAAAATTTCGAGAGGATTTCTTTTTTGTTATTTTAAGATTATTTAGATATATTCTCTCGTCTATTTAGTTTTACACAAGAAAACAAATAATAATACCGATTGAATTATTCAGTTTAATAGAAGATTTAACATTTTCTTTTTTTTTGTTAAATTTAAAATAATTTTAAAATCGATATATATCGTTTTATGTATTTTTAAATAAATAAAATAATTAAAAATGTTAAAGAGATATTTCTATAGATATAAATAAAATATTATCTTAAAAATATTTATTGATTTTATTTAAATAAAAATTAACTACAAATAATTATCTTTAATAAATATATTATATATTAAAAAAATAATAAAAAATTAAATATTATCTCAAACAAATTAAATTAAATTAAATTTTTATAAACAATGACTAATATCAATATAAATATATTCTGTTATTTTTTTCTTTTTTGTTTTTTCTTTTTTTTTTTATTTCTAATTTATTTAGGTAGAAATATAATTGGTTATATATATATATATATATATATAATAAATATGAATAAAATAATATTTATTTAATTCGATTTCGAAATTCTTATTTTTAATATAAATATCATCAATGTTTACTAGTCAATTATTGATTTATATCTATAGTTTTTTTAGCAAAAGAATTTTCTCAAGAAAGTAAAGAGAAATTGTTTTATTTTATTTCTTTTTTTTTGTTTCAATATCTATTATACAGTGGTTTGCAAAAAAAACTTGGAACAATTTGCCAACACAAAGAACAAAGATTTAGTATTTGCTAGCTTTTTTGGAGGGCATCTTTTGCTGTTATCCTAGATTTATATTTAGTAGGTTATCTACTAAACATATTCATTTACTTTAACGATTTGTGTTTTTTCGTTATTAGAGCAGAATTCGATATGATACACAGTGGGGAGCCAGGCGGACATATGCGAAAATATTCTTTTCCAGAATCTAACTGCTTGCGTAGATACATACATATGGGATCTATTATTTCCTAAAATAGTGGTTCTCAAAGTTTTATAGAGCCCAAGAAAAAAGGCTGTCAAGGCTTGAGCCCAGTAATCAGCATAAATTAAGAAAGTCAAGCGGCAGAGCACTATAACACAATATTCCGAAAGCAAACAATATCGCAAAAACTTGCTCACCTATGGACTTTATGATGAAAAAAAATTATCGTAATCCAATTTAAAATAGAGTAGAAAATTAGGAATCCCTTTGTCAAAATCCTACCCGAAAACCTATCGTTCTGTATGTTAAAAACCCTATGAAGGGATCACGTCTGATCGAGTGCGTATTTTTATCAGATATTCCTAGATATGTATTTTAACTATGGTAGTAGCGCCAACTCATGAAACCTATCCTAGGCCGTTTTAGATGGTGCCCAAAAATCCGAGATCTCTAGACGGAAATTCGATTTTAGACATCTGTACTAGACTTTGAAGGAACACTAAGGTGATATTCGGAATCAACTCGTCGAGCTGCATCGAACCATATATATATAGAATTCTTTTTAAAACAACTTTTTACCCGTTTTCAAAGCAAATCCAGGCCCGAAACCCTGGCGTTTCGGATTTTGAAAACCCTACAAAGGGGTAAAGTTCGATCGAGCTGAAATTTTTATCAAATATTCCTGGATATGTATGCTAACTATGGTAGTAGCGTCAACTCGTGAAACTTTGCCTAGGCTATTCTACAGGATTCCAAAAAGTCACGGTTTTCGGTAGGAAATCCAGCTTTAAGCATTCATATTACACTTTGAGGAAAAACTAAGGTGATATTCAGAATCAGCGCATCAAACTACACTGAATGATATGTAGCGCAACATATTTTTCAAAACAAAAAATTGTTTTTGTTGAAAAACGTTTTATTTTTCTTAAAAACGGTTTTCTGAGCTGTATACTGTCATTTATAGTCAAATGAAAAGCCATTTCTAAGAAAAAAATCCGCATGTCTACCTGCTTATGTGAAAGCTCCCCACTGTGCCACTGTGTGGTAAAGCGAAACAATACGAAAAAATAGAATATTTCTCTATTATATTATTGAAGCAAGGGAATTCACTCAACCAGAAAAAAACCATCGACCTATAAAAACAGCTTTGCCTACAATTACCTATCGGTTGGAATAGCTCAGCTAGCAAAGTTCTTTAAAGTATCGAACAGATAAATTATGGACAACCGTAAGATTGATACTACATACAGTCGAGTACGTGATCAGTTCATTACGTGAAATTTGAAAAGTCTCAATCGATCAATCGTCTTGAAAAAAATGTTTCCTTATTTCATATGCAATAGTTCATAGTTTAACAATATCCCGTTCACTATTGTCTTTTCTCTTCTTTTACNAATGGTTCTTTATTAGATTATCTTAGACAAAATCGAGATTTTTTTCTTAAATTAAATTCAAAAGATGTTATATTTAAATTGAATTCTTTTTCAAATCGTTATAACTCTAGAATAGTAGCATATTTTTCGATGAAATTTGAAATCTATCAATGAAGTTTGATGTAGCTTACTGTGAAATTCTTAAAAATAGCATACTAATAAGAGTAACAGTGAAACCTAGGGTAGGCTCAGAAAAATGTTAATTTTTTTCGAAAACTCTAAATACAAAAATTCTTTTCTTAAAAGTCTATCATTTAAGTATGCTATTATCCTCCATGAGTTTCATCTAGGCCCCATAATCAATAATCGAAATTTTACATACTAAAAAATCTCTCCGCCGCCTATGCTCGCTAGTAAATAGATACGATTTATTCAGTTAAACTTACTTGGTTAAACCAAAATCTGCAACTTTGAGTGTATCATCATCACCAATTAAACAGTTTCTAGCTGCTAAATCTCTATGAATAATAGATTGTTCTTCCAAAAATAACATAGCTTGAAATATTTGTTTTGAAAAAGAATTCAATTTAAATATAACATCTTTTGAATTTAATTTAAGAAAAAAATCTCGATTTTGTCTAAGATAATCTAATAAAGAACCATTTTTCATAAAGTCTGTAACTAAACCTAATTGTTGTTCTCTTCCAAAAAATGCAACACCGATTATACCTAATAGATTACTATGTTTTAAATTTGTCATTATATAAGCTTCATTAAGTAATTCATAAATATTATTATTATATTCTTCTATTGATGATTTCGAATTTTTAAAATGATCTATTCGTCGGGAATTTAATGTTTTTACTGCAACATCACGTGTACCTTTGTATAATGCATGATAAACAGTACCAAAATGACCTGTACCTATTTCTTGAGCATTCTATATAAAAACAAAATATAATTATTTTTATTATTTTCAATTGAAATTGAAATGAATACTAGAACGAAATATATTTATAGCAAAAAGAAAAATTTTCATTAATAGATTTATAATATATTTCAAATAATTTAAATAATTTATGAAATAAATTTACTTGTAAATCATATTGATTAATTAAAATAAATTGAAGATCAGCTGGTATTTTTTGTTTTTTATTATTTGAAACAATAAATTGATTTTTATTTGTTTTTGATATAGATTTAGAAATATTTTTCTTTGAAAATATTTCATCAGATGATTTTGTTAAATCCGATTGATCTTTAATTCGTCTATTTAAATCACAATTAACTAATTGTTTAGCTGTAATTATATTATTTGAATGTGATAATTGACCAGCTGATAAACTTCTTTTAAGTTCGAGTTTTTTCTGATTTTTACTATGATCATAACGAGATTTACTTCTAGATGATGAACGAGATTCGACTTTATCAATTGATCGATTATTTTCATTATGTTTATTTAAGTTAACAATTTCATGAGTAGTAAAACGTGATTCATTATGACTAATAAGTGGTGAACAATGATTCCATTGAGCATAAGACCGAAGAACATTTGCATAAGATGTTTCATTATGTGAAGAAGAAGAAGAAGAAGAATAATCGACTGGTGGTTTTGATAATTTTGTACCCATCACGTTGATTTTGTTTTATCAAAAACTAAATAAATAAGAATGAAGGAAAGAACGCATGTTACTTCTGTTAAATGTGGTCGACCGTGACTATCTTACATATAATATTTATTTTTAATACATACATTTTTTTTTCTTTCTTCACTATATGACGTCAATATTAGTTAGTCAAATATTGTCATCATTCAAACTTGTATTTTTTATTTATCCTATTATTAATATACATTGAATGAAATCTTATTTCAATTTTGTTAATTATATTAAATGACAATATTTTAATTTATTTGAATAGCTCAACTTAGATTTGTTTTTTATTTATGTAAATAAATTTAAAAATTATATTTATTTAAAGAAAATTGTTTACAAAACATATATTTGGAAAGTTTATATAAATACAATGATTTTTTTTTTGTTTATTCATTTTCTATTTAAAAGAAGAATTTTAATAACAAGAGATATCAAAATGAAAGAAAATTAACAATAATTATATGAAATATTCTTTATTTGATGTGTATGTCATTTAATATATTTTAAGTTAAAGATAAAACGAAACTATAGTCTGTCCAAAAAGTCCGTGGGTGTGACTGTTTGTTGAATAACTCAAGAATGCAAACAGCTAGAGACCTGCGATTTTCATCAGTAGAAGGAGGTGATATGGGGACATCTTTTTCTCTGATATTGCGTAAGACGAAGTCATTTTAAAATCAACCCTTTTTACACAACATCGAAAAAATATACTAAAATATTCTGTCATTGAGATGAAATTTTTAACAAAAAGTAAGAAAATTCAAGAGAAATTCGTATTTTTCGAGGGAACAAATAGAGAATTGCATTTACTTAATATTAGAAGGTGTGAAGATAATCATTTAAATTATATCTTAAGTTATAGATCTGAAGTCCCTCTATCCAAATCACATATTAAAACCAAAATCTCATCGAAGCAATAGACCGTTATCACGCATATTTTCGAATGTTTTGAGAAAATGATTGATTTTAAAATGACTTCATCTTATACAATATCGGAGAAAAAGATGTCCCCATATCACCTCCTTCGACTGGTGAAAACTGCAGGTCTCTAGTTGTTTGTGTTCTTGAGTTATTCAACAAGAAGTCACACCCATGGACTTTTTGGACAAACTATAGTATGGAAATATTTACATGAATTATGATAATTTACTTCTATTTTTCGAATATTAAATATCTTCTTTTATAAAATAAATTTAGAGAATTATTTTCAATTAGATTAATTGTTTTTATCTAATGTGATTGTTACAAATTTTACATAATTTAAACATTTATGCACAATTCTTTGATATGAAAACATGTTTAACATTTTCACTTTTCAATAGATTTTTGTAAAACTAACCTTCTATATATTATTCTTAAATAGAATAAATAAAGCTTACGAAAGATCTATTGGTGAGAATAAATATTACAATTGAATTGTTTAATTCTCTTTTTTTCCATTTCTAATGTATCCTATGATTGTCAATAAATACATCTAATTATCCCAGAAAATAGAAACAAATTTTTGAAAAATTCTTTCATCTCTATGATTATTAAAAAAGACTTTGTATGGTGAAAATATCAAATCTTTCTTAAAAGCTGAAATCTGATTGTCTGAAGATCCTAGCAATAAAAATAGTATAAATAGGAGAAGAAGAAAAAACAAATTGTTACATGATACACAAGAACATAGTCATGAAGGTTGGTTATAACAATATATGAAGAACGAACATACAGAAAAGTATCATTTTTTTCCAAAATAGATATTCTATCTTCTAAAGGAATTTCATAAAAAACATAAACAATAAAATAATAGAACCAGTGAAGGTAATGAAAGATTTTTCTGAGAGAAATATAATAGATCATTTTATTGTTTGTACATGAAAAGAACAAACAACTATGCATGAAATAAAGTTTGTCTTAGTGATACAGATGTGGTACCTGTGAAACGAAATGAATTAACTAGGAACACTCTCTGGTGAAAGTTCATTAATTTGTAATTGATCAAAAGTACTCCAAACTAACTTCCCACGGAGTAAAATATTCAAGAAAACGGACTGCGTAACGCGTTTCTGAGATTGCAGCATGCGTTTTGCAACGTTTTTTCAATATAGAACGCGTTTCACAGCATTCTTACTTCGATAGAATGCGTTTTGCTGCTGTCGTTTTTTGTAACGATCTAAAACGCGTTTTTCCAAGATTGCGTTTCGAAGTGTTTCCGAAGTAAAATAATGTCGAACGCATTTCGGTCGATAGGTAACGCGTTCCAGAGACACAGATTCGGAAAAATGTGAAACGCGTTTCCTTTTCAAAGGCATTTTGCATCGTTTTTGTTTGAAATGATGCAAAATATATCCGTTTTGCATACAGAATCTTCCAGAAATTTATCTGTACAAAACGTACGAGTTAAGCAAAGTTAATTCTGGGACTATTTTAGAAATTATAGGAAATGGGATTTGAACATTTTGTTCCTTGTACTGTTTCTCAACATGAAAATCATGACCCAAACTTTCCACCCGCAAGATTAAAA